GATTGATTGACGGGTGAATGTCATGAGATTATAATATATAATATAATGATTGGATATTTTGGCATTTATTGTTAAACAGGGGAACAATATGAGCAGGGTTTAATCTTAGAGGGTTAAAAGGTCATTTTCTATTTCATCTTTACTTTAAAGGACATTTCACAAAAAATTATATTTTAATATATTTTAATCTTTTCTGTTAAAGCTAGAAACATCCACTCTTGGCTGCTCTGCATGAGCCTCGAGGTCTGAAGGAAACTAACAGTCTGCAGCGACGTCCCCGTTCGTACCTGGACTCTGGCCTCGGTGAGGTTGACCCGGCGGGCCAGGTCCTCCCTGACGAAGGCGTCGGGGTAGTGTGTCCTCTCGAACACCCTCTCCAGAGCCTGGAGCTGGCTGCTGTTGAAGGTGGTCCTGTTCCTGCGCTGCTTCCTCTTCTTCTTCTCCTCCGTGTTCATTTGTTCATCTGCAGGCAGAATAAGTAGAAGAAGAAGAAGGTGGTGTTATATAACCTTCACAAGACTTCACAAGGTTGTTCTTTGTGGCTGCAGACACTCTGCCGGAGGAGGTAAAATAACAAAAAGAGGTCTGAAGCCCCGTGTCAGACCTCATCAAAATGTAATAATAAAAAGAGCTCGCTGCATTCACTGTGGAGCCCCCTCAGACCTCCGTCAGACATTAATAATAATCATAATGGACATCATAATCATAATGGTCATGGACCTCTAAAAAGCAGAATTTCACTTCATTCAAGCTGTTTAGAGTTTAACAAACTGGTTATTTCTTTGTGTTAAATCAGCGTTGGAGGACAGATGTTGGTTGTTTGGTAAAAACAGGAGTGAACTGGTGAAAACTCGACGCCTGTTACACTAATCATTATTATGATCCTGATAAATAAGATATTTATTTGTTTGTCATTCGCTGTAATAGATTCAGATTAATTCAATTATTGCAGATATGTTTGGATATTTTGTGAATATCAATTAAAACAACAGAATCACTGACGTTCATCCAGATAACGAAGGATCATAAATACATCAGATTATCATCATTTGTTTTTCTTTTTCTTTATCTCTTATTATTAGCTTTTTATTGAGGTCTTAAAGGTGATCTATAATAATTGTTCAGCAGGATTTGTGGTCGCTGTTTGCATGAGTGTGTTCAGTTTATAGAAAAAGTATTAAAAATGATTGTGTATTGTTACAATTTAAACTAACTGATCACTTTAAATTGATCAAAGACTTATAATCAATGACCAACCTGCTCTAACACCTGACCTTCAGCTGCTACTGAGTACTTTTACTTTACACAGGCGAGTACAGCTAATATTTCTGTACTCGTGGAACATTTTGCACACACTTTTCATAAATTGTCTTTATTTTTCACGACTCAAACTTTTTAATTGAACTGTTGTTTTTACGTTTTTCTCTGTTTCATTAATGTTGTAATATTTTTTAAAGGTTTATTGCTCAGTTATTTCTCGGTGCTGACCTGTTTTTCATACACTATTCTGTGTATTTTATTGTTGTGTTACTAGTTTTGAAAAGCGCTATACAAATAAACTTTATTATTATGTTTGCATTACAATATTTCTACTGAAGTGAAGGAATTCTGTTTTCCGAGAGCAACGCTGCACAATCCTCTACTTTAACAGAAAATGTTAAGAAATGTGCATCAAAATATGGCTCAGTGGGTAAGACGCAGTCAGCGTTCACTACAACGTTCCTGTTTCCAACCTGGACGCCGTCCCTCGCTCTCTCCACACACTTCCTGTCCGACAGTCAACCCTTTTTCTATCAATTAAAGCCAAAAATGTCCAAGAAAAATAATCTTTCTGTCCTAAAAGCCCCACTGACGCACATTAAAAACAGCTATATGGAAACAACTGGCATTACAATAATTCCAGAGTGACATCTTGTTCCCAGCAACAAGTTCCCAGTGTGGATCATCCACCCAGTGACAACAACAACGTCTCTGGGGGGGAAAGATGAATTTTTTGAATGTTATGAGCACCACAAACTGAATCCCATCCATAAATATCCGACAGATTTCTGAACCTGGACGAATAAAACCAAAAGTATCTGCATGAGAGACACAGCACCGAGTTTAAAAAAAAAAAAGACTGGTTCTTTGGTTCGTTTCCTGATTATCAAACAAACAGAACAAGATAAATATATAATCCAGCTCCATGTGTTCAGTGTGAACGCTCCTGCAGGCTGGAACCACCACAACAAGACCACAAAATAACACATTTACATCCAAAAACAGAGACTGTGATCATCCATGTTCCTGCTGATTACACACACACACACACACACACACGTTGATTTTACACTCAAATAAATAAATAAAACTGAATGTTTTGACTTTAAACCCTGAAAACTGTAAAAATTCTGTCGGTCATTCAACAGTTTTAAAATTATTTATTTTTTCTAGTAGTCTGAAGTTTTTTGGAGTTATTTCTTTGCATTAAATCAGCGTTCGAGGACAAATGTTGGTTGTTTTTATGTCTTTTATAATCCTTTTTAGATAAACGTGACCCACTTTATGGTGTTTGTTTATTTGGTGTTCACATAATTTAAAAAACTGACTCATGAAATGATTTTTAATTAAGCAAAAGTTAATAATTTCCAATATGTTTGAATATGTTGATTAAAAGATTTGAATCTGTGCAGCGTTATGTTTTAGCCGACAGTAAATGTGATTCTTCAGATAATCTGCAGGTTTCTTGTTTAATATTTGACTTCTTCCTAATATTGAAAGCAGGATTTTTACTCGTAAAGAAGTTGTTTTAAATTGTGATATTCATATTTTTGCTTCAGTAAAAGATTTGAATCTGTCGTCCATCACGGTCAAAAAGCTGTTTAATAAAAGTCTTCAGCAATTTCAAAACCTTTAAAAGACTTTCAGACACAATCTTCAGATAGAGTTCAGTCTCGATGTTGGAAAAAAAATCTTTTTCTGAGCTTTCAACCAAATCTCATGGTCTTCCTCGGTGGAAGGAGTTCGCTCAGTAAGTCTAAAATGTTTTATATCCTCTACTCAACCTGAGAAGAAGGTGTTTGATTTTAATAAGAAAAAAAATTTTCTTCCAAAAAGATTCAAGAAATCCTCAAAATGTGGAGTTAAGACTTTAAAAAATGAAAGCGTTTAATATCCACAACTCTTAAAGAAACTGAATTAAAAGAATATTTTAATGCTACAAAAGCACATTTCTGTCTTTTGTTAGAGAACTAAGAGAAAGCACCGACTTTAATGTACAACTTGTATTTTACTGGTTGTGTTTTACTGCTTGTACACACACACACACACACGCACACACTCGCTGATTGTCACACACTCTGATGCTGCAGTGTGTACGCTCTGTTGTCACCATGTCGTCTAATTAGAGGAAAACTTCCCCCTGCAGTCTCAGCCAATCAGGAGACAGCTTGTTGTGTGTATGTGCTGCTTTAAAGAACAGAGCGAGCCCTTTAAATAAAACCATAAATACTCCTGATGTTAATTCACTTTAAATACAGTTTCATTTTTACAGGTCGGATTCAGAATTCAGCAGATGAAAGTAAAAAATAACCTCATTTTGTGAAATAAAAATATGAATTTAATCATTTATATTTGAGTGTATTCAGCTTTTTACTATTAATATTATATTACTATTACTATTAATACTCCACCACTACTTAATGCTGCTGCCAGTTAAATACATTTTACATTTTAAGAACCTTTTTTTCTTCAGTTTCTTTTGTTTTATTTATTTTGGCTTATTTTTCTTTACATTTTAGTGAATTTGCATGAAAAGTTTCTGCATTAATTACAGTTACCAACGACAAAACTCAGCTGTGAGACGACAGATAAATTGAATAATTGGCTGTAAACTATATAAATTCCGTGATATGATTTTCAGTGGAACGAGTGAGTTGTGCTGATTTTACCAATGTTTGTACGAGGTCTTTATGTTCATTAGTGACTTTATAAATTAAAGCAGAAGGTGATTTTTTTAGGTAAACTACATAAATTAAGTTCAGAAGTCCACAAGAAAAGTGCTCATTTTAATTTCTTTCTACTGATCAGTTATTGAGAAAAAAACCCAAAAGTCAGTTTTCATCCTCAGATTTGACATTTTAGTGTAAAACGACTTCACTTCACACTAAATATATTAGTTTTAATTGTTTTTGCTCGTCGTTGGATGATCTGGAGCGAAATATCTGACTGTTTCTGTGTTGTGCTGTTTTTTATTCCTTCAGAATAAAATTAAAAATCAATAAACATTCAGATTTAAAGATCAGAAATAAATCAGAAAAAACAAACAGAATTTAATTAAGCTTTAATATTTTTCTGTCTTCTTCCTAAATCCTGTTAAACATTTTGTGACCTTTCAGATGTATCTGGCAGGCCCTTCAGTGGGGGTCCTGACCCCCCGGGGTTGAAGATTAAAACCATTAAAACACTAAACATTTTATTTTCTTAATGCAAAATCTAAATTTTCAAAGTAAAACTACAAACCCAAGCTGGTATTTTATTTATTATGAATGTTTCTGTCATATCTTCTTTTTATTTAAATTATATTTAAACAGAAAATAATCTTTTCTCTCCTTAAAATCACAATATTTCCTTTTGCTCGCGCGTTAAACTGAGCACATTAATGGTTTCAAATTTATATTAGTTTGCATTAATCCATTTGAATGTGTATTCAGGAACATTTGAGGCCATTTTCCCTCCAGGACTCTCTGTTGCCCCCCCCCCCCCCCC